TTTTACTACCAGATAGCTTTGGGGAATGTTGTCCATTAGATGGTGAAAATAATAGGGTGGGAACAGAAGTAATAAAGGAATTGGTTAGACTAAAAGTTAACGTTGTTATATGAGTGGATGAAATTATGAGTGTTGGATTTTCAAGGAGCCATAGTAGTTAAAAAAGTTAAAGCTCTATATAAATTTGGTCTAATAGATTTAAACTCTTGGATGCATGAATTATACAAGATTTATGTAGTGGGAGACTGTCACATTAAGTATACAGAGAAAGGGATTCATAGTTGGAAGAACAGAAAGATTAGGACTAGACTTTGCTTGTTAGGTGGTAAAGTACATGATATTATAGAGCATATTGACAGCTTATTTGCTTGGACTAAGGAGCATTGTATTTGTGGAGCATCAATGGAATTCTGTAGAAGGTCAAGACGTGTGCTTTCACCTCCACCTGTGAGATTGCATCTGCTTCTCTTGTGCACAACAAATCAGATGTGTTATCAAGGCTTTTGTACTAAAGATATGTCTGGGAAATGCTAATATCAGTCTGACTCAGACTCTTATAGGTCAAAGTGCAAAAAAGATTATTTTCTTATTACCCCCCCCCCTTTAAAAATAAGAATAACATAAGTAAATATCCAATCTTCAGGTACTTTCTCACACTGTTGACGTAAAAATGAGAAAAACATGCTCGCATATCTTTTCTTTGACCTCCTTTAACACAGAGATGGACAATTAATGGTATTTGCTAATCAACTTACTGATGGACTCGGTAATCATGTAATCATTAAAAAGTGGGGTGTGTGCTAACTTTTTTAATCACTGCATAATTCTAACACGTTATTCATCTTCTACTATCATTCACATTGTTTCTTTTAAGTACCTTTCAAATTACGCTTGGTTTCAGACCTCTTCTGAAGGTTATCATTTGTACATTTTACACAAAACACATTTGTTTTTTAAAGAAATGTTTTTACACCAATGGAGTTCAGTCAAAATGGATTAATGTCATAAGTGGGATATCTCAGAGCTCAGTATTAGGACTTTAGCTCATTTTTTTATATTGACGTCAATGATATAGATGAAGGAATGGTCAATAAATTAGTTAAGTGTGCTGATGATACTAACTGAATGTGCACGAGGTTGGTCCACTGGACAGACTCTACACTGGAAAAGTAATGCTGACTATATCTCCAAAGTTATGAAGCATACCTTGATGGAATGTCACAAGCTACTAGTCAACATTACAAGTTTTTACAACATAATATTTCATTAAATGATTCTGTAAAGCTCCTTCCATCAGACATTCTAGAATTTTCCCACTACAGAAGGAAGACTAACCGGCATACAATTCTTGGGATGTTACTTGTTGGAAAGGTTTCACCATGTGATCAAGTGCCACACAAAAGATTAGTTAAAGAAAAGACTCATGTTGGTAGGGTTTTGGGAAAGACTACTTAATAGCATGGAAGAAAGCAACTGGACTGCATCAGGGAGCAACACTTGGATCTTTGCTACTTCTTATTTATGTTATTGATGTTGATAGGAACAGAATTATTAAATCAGTAAATTTTGGTGAGGATGTTACTCTTTGGTATGTCTAGCTATATAGAGGTACTACAGATTGAGTTGGAAAAATATTTGACAAATTACATTTAATTTTGCTGACTGCAAGGTGATGCAGGTAATATTGTGAATCTCTTGTTTAATATAGATTGGAATGCCAACTAGAGATAGAATTACCAAGTAAAAATGATCTTGGAATTGTTATGGATAAGTCACTCGAGTCATTGAATCAGAATTCTATTGCTAGTAGTACAACTGATAGAATCTTAGAATGTATTTGTAAACAATGATTACAAATCAAAAGAGGTAACTAAAAATCACTCATTAGGACTGATTTGGAATACGGTTTACAGTTTTGGTGTCTTTGTCCAAGAACAAATATTCATTTATTGATGATGGTTCAGAGGATTGCCACCAGGATGACTCCAAGGATGGAAGGGTTATCTAATATAAAGCCTAGATCCACTAAGGATGGAAGGGTTATCTAATATAAAGCCTAGATCCACTATTACAGAACAACACTAAACT